TTCTTAAGTCACTTTTTAGCTGACTAGTAATTTATTGAATACACGTCACCAACCTTTAGTTATTTATCTTATCTCTCTCACCTGACTTGAAATACATGTTGAGCATGTAAGAAGATATAATATATTTGAAATCCAAGTAAAACAGTGACAATACTAAAAACAAGATTTCTTAATATAATTAAATCTTTTTATAGTTATTACCTTTAGAAAAGCAAAATTTGGTGACTATAGGTTTGATTATATTATAAAATATATTAATATAATAATATTTTGCAAAATTTATATGATAATTGAAATTTTTAATAATTAAATAAAAACAAAAAAATAATTTTAATAAGTAATTTTGTAATTTAAAAAAAATTATTTTATTTTTATTTAATAAATATCATTCAAAAAAGACTTTATTTTAATGGATTTTTTTAATAAAATATAGTGAGATTTTACTATAATTTATTAAAAAATCCATAAAATATCTTTTAAATGATATTTATTAAATAAAAAATTTTTTAAATTACAAATATATCTTTTATAAGATTCTTTTCAAAATTGCTTATTAAAAAAATTTTTAAATGATTTTTAATTTTTAATTCTTAAATGTTAAAACTTTCAATTCATCACTTTTAATATCAAATATTATTATGCTAATATGCTTTGTGGTATTAAGAAATCTTGTTTCTAACATTCTAAAGAATATACCTACATATTTCGCAATTTTTGAATGATTCCTCATTAAATATAGGCAAAAAACACATCCGCTATTACTTTCGCCAGACTGTAAAAATGATATTTGTAATAAAAAATTGGTTCGATTTCGTTCCATCCTTCAAGATCATAACTTTCGCTTTATTTATATAGATTTCCTGAATATTAGCCCTCTCAGTGTATTTTCAAATACAATATTCTATTTCCAAAAAAGAGAAAGAATAACAATAAATTTTTTTGATATATAAGAAATGAATCGAACATCCAAGTATCAAAAATTAATTTACCGTATTTATCCCATTAAACCTGCTTAATATAGTTAATCTAGTCCAATGGGGTCTTTTAAACAATCAAATACTTGAATAAATAGCGATAGTCATTAATCAATCAAGTAGAGGCTAGACTGGAAGACATTGATTCTATTAATAAATTGAAAATCATTGTGGTCGACGTTGAACGGAAAGTAACACCTCCATGTATAGGGCTGAGCTAATTGAAAACTATGATCAATCTATTCAAATCATCGTAAGCATAATTCCAGAAGAGAAAATGTTACAATATATTACCGGAAATGTCAAAAATGAATTTGTCGACATCCGGTGATCCCATTCAAACAAGATATCACCATTAGATTCGTCTCGACTATACGAATCTAATGGTGATACCTTTGTTTGAATGGGTCACCGGATGTCGACAAATTCATTTTTGACATTTCCGGTAATATATTGTAAGGGTCAAGCGAGCGAAAATCGCATGTTTATCATTTTCAACAAGAGAATTCCATCAAAAACGGTAAGCGATTCAACATGCGCACAGTTAATGAGATGATTCTCCTCCCTTGCTTTTCGTCATCGATCACAACAAATAATGTGTTACGAAAATTAAAATATCGTTATTTCTTTTTTGACAAATGAAAATTAGTCATGTAATTTGCATCATGCATCAATGAGTATAATATATCGAATAAATAATCGTCGTCGTCGTTCGTCAGGTCGGGATTATATAATATAGCGATGATGATGATGATTATCAGAAAAAAGCCACAGTGTATTTCAAAGTTCATTTTATATTGGTGGCTATCTGATTGGTAAAATTTTTATGGGATATTGTGATAGAGAAAACATTTCCTAATACATATAATAGATAAATGTAAGATAATATGCGTATGTGCACATGTAATGTGTGATAAAAAACCGCAACTTCAAAGCTGCCACATCATCGTTTAGAAATGGACCCACCCCAAATTTAAAATCAACTAGTTTCAAAACTTGATGATATTCAGCAAAGAATAAAGTGATCCATTTTCTGTATGAGGTAATTCAAATGACCAAGAAACCGACAATTTGATCTCGTTTTTTCTCATTATACTTTGTTTTGATGTTTTGTTTTGCTTTTGTTGTTTTAACTTGTGATTGCTTGAGAGTTTCAAAAATTTTTTGACATGTTCATCTATAAAAAGATAACAACGGCATGACAGGAACAGTAACTGATGACATTTGAGTCGATTATCCAATTGTTCTCTATATCGAAAAAAATATCTTATTATTTGAAAAATAGCCACAAAAGTAAAAAAAAATTGGTCAAAACTCGGTCGACGAATAATAACGACAATATTTGATGCTGTTGCACGGATATTATAAATAAAATCTTCACCACGTGTAGTTGGTCTGTTTTTGCGTAATTCACGTTTACCAAATAAATAATTACACGAAAAAACCCCTATTATTCAAGTATACGAACAATGAATTATTTTGGAAACCATTTTCCGATGAATTAATCGATTGATTGATCTACAAAAAAATTTAGGGGCTCAAAGGTAAATGAATTAAAATTTTTAATTGTGTGTAAATAAAAAGCTCGTGAAATTGATGTAACCTCTAAATGACATAATATACCTAATGAATGGGATATTAAGACCATCAACAATAAAAATATATTATTGATAATATATCTCATCTGATCATCTAACGGCGTGTAGCAGCAATAAAAGGAATAATCACACAAACAATAATGTTGTTTATGAAATATTAGCATCAAACCAATACTACTACTTTAAAAATAAAATATTCTGAAAGTTACATACATCAAATGCATCAGTGATTTTTCACATGTCTGTCAAATGGTAAATCATATGTATGGGCTGATTGAAGACAACAAAAATGTAAAAGAAATAACCCTCCCTTCTCTTATATTATTCCACTCAATTGATATTTTATTTTCTATCGGATTCGAGAGGCGCTCACTCAATCATTTGTTAGTTTAAACTTGCACCTTTAACTTTTTTCTCCCTTACAAATTCCGACATCATAGTAACAAGAACAACCCTTGTTTTTCCTCTAACACCCACATAATAAATATTTAATATAAAATAAATAATAAATAATAGTAGTAATAATAGTAATAAACTATTTCTTTTTTTCCCTTTTCAATTTTGTTCTAATCTCCCAAGAATTAGCTTTCTATTTTACACGACGACCACCATAATATTATTCAACAACGATAACAACAACACTACCCAATTACCCCCCTGAAAATTTGTCTTTTGTGCAAAACCATATCTAAATTCTTTTCTCGCGCATCAAACAAAAAGACCATCTTGCGTTGTGTAAAAAGAATAACATTAGTGATAATATTATCATCCGTAGTAGCAGCCTTCAAACCGGACAATTACAAAAAAAAAAAGAGACTTTGACCACCTCTTTCTCATTTATACATAAACTCGCCGCTCTTTAACCAGCAAAAGGGACAATAATGTACAAACAAAAGACCGCGAACAATAATAATAGCTTGCCACCAATACACGCCGCCATTCAAAATCACAATCCTGTCACATATGCGGGTAATGAGAATAAAAAATATCATGCACTTGGGAAATATTGTATATTAAATATAATTGATTAAATTATTTTTGTTCTACCAGCTGAACAGGAACTTCACCTTCCCTCACTTTTAGACAATAATTCTGCCCCGTCACCTAACTCTCTACCACCGATTCAAATACCAAATTCTACAAATGATTCTCGGATGTCAATAAATCGGTTAGTGAATGATGCAGCAGAACCAGCAGATGATGTACTGGGTGCCGCTCAAGTATTGGAGACTTTGAGACGGGGTCCAGTAGGTAAGTTGAATAATATTTATATTGGTTTTTGATAGATGTTCGCGATCAATTCGCTTTTATTAAATTAATATTAATTAAACATCATAGATGCTCCAGCGCCGGTTGAACCTTCACCTGTACCAAATTCATCGAATACGAACGTTGGATTAAGGCATCGATTACCAGCAATTCCGCTCGTCAATCGAGCACTTGGTTTATATGAACAGGGTAAAGAAAAAAGTTCAATTTTCAAGACTAGCGCAGATGCACTTGAATCATCATTCAAAGCGATATCAACAAAAATTCCACAGATTGAGCAATTGGATGAGTACGCTTGTCGTGGACTTGATAAATTGGAAGAGAGATTTCCTGGTGTCATTGAACCAACAAATAACCCCCGACAAACTGATGTATTTAATGGTATAGGAGATGATAACATGCAAATGTCAATTCCAACTCCTCAAACTCATCATCAGCACCTCGATATATCAATGAAGCGTCAATCGCGTGGTAATAGTGAACTATCGAGTAGAAGTTCATCTCCATCTTATCGTAATAGCGGAGCAAGGCCTCATCGTACATCACAATCTAATGGTTCCGCAAACTACACACCTTACTCATTACCCAATAATAATAGTAATAATAATAGCAGTAACAACAATAACAATAGCAATTCTAATACTAATAATGTTAACAATACTAATACCACTAATGCTAATAAGCATGCTATATCAACTAAGTCGGTAACACGTAGTAGATGGCATCAAGTGCTTGTTGATACTGGTACAGTAGTTGGTGGAGTTGGAGCAGCTGTATCCGAAGAAAGTATGAAATCGTTGAAATACTGCCTCCAATGGTTACATTATGCGAATCAGCATATTGAACATCAGATCGCAGTACTACGAGAATTTATTGTTAATCTAACAAAACAAGCATCATCATCATCGTCAGGAGCTTTGATAAATACTTCAGCAACGTCAACTCTATCATCAATAAAACGTGAAGTAGTTGAAACTCTACGTAAAGTGATTGAAGTAGTTAGTAAATATGCCGGTGCATGTTTACCGGATCAAGCGAGAACCAAAGTAAGAACATTTATACTAAATTTACCAAGTAAATGGGCAAACGTTAATCGTACCGGTGATCATTCCGCTACGCCATCTCCAATGTCATCGCCAGTGTTAGCACCTACCACAACAAATACACATCCGGCCACTAATGCAATTCGATTATTAAGCCTTGCGACTGAATCACTCGAGATGTTGAAAGCGGTTGCCAAAATTTTCTTGGATACAATTGCAAGTGCTGAATTTTGGGTGGCAAGATTAAGAGCCGTAGGAGTAACAAGTGGAGGAGCCGCCGCAGTTGGTGAATTACAATTCGATAACATTCCACAGTTACCCACCGGATGTTCATCTCAACAACAAAATGGATATTATAAATCAAACATTACCACTCCTGTGACCACCAATGGAATTAATGATTATAATCGTAAACATTCAAACATCGATGATGATGATGACTTGACCATCAACGATGATTACGAGTATTCTTCTTCCGAATCTGAAGCAGAGGATATGCGGATGCAAATGAATAGTCAAAATGGAATATTTGCAACCAACAAAAGACCAAAGAAATCAATGAAAAAAGATGATGATGAAAGTATGGATCTTTCTTAATAATATTATTTATTCTATTTTTATGGCATATCTCTGCATTCATTCTTGGACCCTTCCATCATTCATCATTACCTCAACCCCTCCTTTCATTGCTTACACTTTTATTAATTAAATAATCGAGGCTTCATCGTTTAACACATTTTTGGCTAATTTAAATAATTGAAATGTATAGATTAACATAACAAAAAAAAAGGCGGGTACTTTTTGAATTTTCTGCCACTCGATGAGAATCAATTTATTGTTTATTCGCATGTGACCATTTAACACAGCACTTTGCATCATCAATATTTATATTCATTCCCAAATCAATTCATACGATTATACATACAAAAAACTCTTCGATCATAATGATGAAGACCACGATTTCTTATATGTTCTATATTATTATTAGTATATAGTAGCGTTGTATCTTGTAAATTTCCATTGTTTCCCTTCCCATCATGAAGATATTCTCTCATCTCTCATTCTTCGCTTTCTATGTACAAAAAAACGATGTCGATGTATTATTGGTTGTTAGTACGCAACAAATAGGGTAGTAATAGTAGTAGTAGATTACAATTTTGGAATAAATCTCAAATGTATCAATTCCCGTTTTGAAATCTCCGGGTATATATATATATATACGTATATAAACAATTTTTGGCTTTTTTTTGGATTTATACCCTTTTTTTGCATTATTAAAAAAATTTTATATTTCTTTTTCTGTGGGGGCTTTTTTGGATTTTTATGTTTTTAATGTTTGTATGTTTTGTATTTTTGTTTTGTAATGCAGCACACTTTCAGTATTGAAAAAAGTAAAGGTAAAATTTATTAGGGATTCATTTTTTTATTTGATTTTTCAATTTCAATCATTAATATCAATTAAATTAATCATTGTATATTTATATACATTGTTTCTTTTCTTTTTTATTTCTTATTTTTCCTGTTTCTTTAATATTATCACTTATTTGATTTATTATTTGTTAAAAGATAAACAAAATAAGAAAATATGATTTGGTTTATTATTATTTCATTTTTTTTAATTGTTTCTTTCTTGATACAATAAAATTCTTTCTATTCTTTTCTTAATTTATTAATAATAATAATTATTGTTATAATAATATATATTTATTATAATTTTCATTTTAATAACAAATATTATGTTTTTTATTAGTTGTATAATTAGCTAATAAATGTAAATTGAAATTGAAAGAATAATTAAATAAATATAATAATAATAAAATATTTAAGTTTTATATCAATTTTTATTAAAATTGTTATAGTTTGAAAGAGAAACAATATATTATCATTGTTGTGACATGTTATATATTATTTAGCTATTTGTTGACATGCTAGGACAAAAAATTAGTTAGGTGAGCATAGCGTTTATTATCATAAAGAGCTCAATATTTATTTATAATAATGATATTTCTCTCACATAATGATAGTATTTGACAAAGAACAATGATTATTAAGAATCTAATTAATTTTTATTAAAATATTTTAATTGATTTTTTATTATAAATTAGATTTATATTGTCATCATTTTCAGAGTCATTTCCTATGATGATATTTCTGAAATATGGTGAGTAACCGTGTTCAATTGAAAGGTTGGACTACTGAACTATCAAAACTTATAATTTTAAATATCAAATATTAAAATAATGGGGTTGGACATAACTTTTAACAAGAAACTTAACGAAATAAATACGATAACT